GACAGTTTTGGTGGGATTGTGGTTTTTTCCTTGGTAGTTCCTTGATTAAGGTATTGTTTTCTACTTGATTGTTGATTCTTCCCATTGAAACTGTGGTTGAGTGTGTCCATGCATTTAATTCAAGGAGTTTAGTCATGTTTCTTTGAGATCAAGGAGATAAATCATGTCTTCTGATTGCTAGTTGGAGTTCACAGGTATGCTGTACTAGTCTTCTACCCATTTGTCCTACATAGTGGTTTTTACAGACAACACTGTATATTTTAGATGACTCCTGTTTTTTCTTCTAAGGCTACTGAGTCTTTTGGTTAAGATTGGGTGGAGGACTTTAGTTGGTTTGTTTGCAATGATGATGTTGTATGGTTGTAATAGTCTATTGGTTGTTTCTGAGATGTTTTTAATAAATGATTGTGTTAACTTTTTCATAGCTTGTTTTGATTGTGCTATAGTGGATTTGAGTAGTCAAGCACTTTTTCATAAAGTTGCGTGGATATCCATTTCATTGGAAGATGTTGTATAGGCAGCTTGTTTTCTTTTTTTGTGTTCTGGGCTGCTGCAGTGATTTGTACTGTTCTGAATAATGTTCTTATTCAGAGGCAAATTAGAAACACAAATCTTTTGAAAAACAACCCACATTAACCAAGTGCTCCATTATCAAAGTAACAACCCAACCCAATAAGAGGAGCTGTGTAAGAAGCAAACAGTTAAGCAGAAAACAACATCTTAATCAAGGAACTCCCAAGAACAAACTCACATTCCCACCAAAACTGGCAGGGCAAGCTACTGTATATAGACAGGGAGTGAACCCTACATTTACACCGATGATGTTACTTAGTTGGGTAATGAAAAATCTGTAAGAAAACAACCAAGCTCAGAGAGCACCAAGTACTCCACAAATTTCAGTGAACACAAATTTCAGTATTTTTTTCCTTGGAGAGACACACAGGATCGTATTGTAAATTTAATATGATAGATCAGTGGTTCTCAATCTTTTCTTCACCACGGACCCTTTTAAATACCATGGACCACCAAGACATAACTCAAGGTTTAAATTATAATATTTCTTCAAGCCTTCGCAGACCCCCTTTGATGAAATCGAGGTCCCCCCAGGAGTCCATGGACCATAGGTTGAGAACCAATGGGAAAGATTTTACAAAATGATGCATGTTTTGCTTACTACTATTGTTTAAAACTATTTTCATTTTAATTTAGGTTTTACAGAAGACCTGAAGAAATCAAACATAATTTTTGTACTTGGTGAGTAACAAAAGACATGACCAGACATACTTGTTTTATATATACAATAAATCTTTTGACAAGTACCAATGAACTGCATAAATCTGCCTAAATACCCTGTCTTTTTTAGATTCCTCAGGATTAGCACCATTGAGAGTAAAACATCACGGAGATACTCATGATCATATAGTTAGTTGATTAAAAAAAAGTGTCAGGAAATTTATCAGAAAAAATATGTAACACTGTAAAGAAGAAATTTTATAATTACTAATAGAGGTATTTAATTAATTTCCAAATTAGTAGATGTTTAGAATAGTTTTTTCCTGCCCAAGACGTATACATGATAAGCAGTACGGTGCTGGACTAGAAGAGGGCAAACATTTTGAGTCCTTCCTTTCAAATAGAAACTATCTGGGTGACTTGGGCCAGTCATTCTGTCTCATTCCTAGACTGGGGAGTTAAAAAAATACTGATATAAATATATGTTTGTGGATGAGTATATGTATTATTATTATCAATCTAAATCATTACACGTCAGGCTTAAAGCCTCTTCACTGAAGATGTTGGACCATAATGTACCATACTGGCCTAGAGAGGTACATCTATAAACATATATTTATGTCAGTATTTGAGCAGAAAGATCTCTTTTTATTTCTACATTATGTTACTAGTCCTAGATTATTAAACAAATAGTGCAGTTGGGATTGTTTGTGAATCATAAAAGGGTGGGGCAAAATGAAAGAACCATATTATTATATTATTACTCAGGAAAAAAAGGCGTTGTGAATATCAGTTGGCATTGTAGCTTCACTACACAATTGAACCAGGTCCCAAGAAAGCAAGAGCTCCTTGACAGTTAAGAATGTAGGTCTCTTTTTCATTATTTATCATCTGGAAACATACATAGAAACATTACAACCCTGTATTCTCTGTAGCGATTTAGTCACACATGGATAGAATCACCTGATTCTGGAAGTCATCAGTAACACAAATAATCCTCCTAGGGAGAAGGAGAATAGACCTACAATATGTAACCAGGTAAACCCTGAGAAGCTTCATTCTCAATCTGAAGTGATAGGAATATGTGAAAACGCATTCCACTAGCGTCACTCCTGAATCCTTCCCAGTTGTTAATCATGTTTTGGAGCTAATTAAGCTTTTTGCAATTCTAGAATTCATCAAACTCCTAAAAATGTAGAGAAGTTGCTATGGCAATCAGGCACATAACACAAAGAAGAACGTGCAGCATTTTTTTTTTTTAAATGCCTGCAATAGAAGAGTTAATTAACATCTGCCAAAAATGGTTTTTCATTGACTGGGACAAAATAAATTATTTCATTGGAAACCGATGTTCAAGGTTCAAATTCTCAATACACAATACACAGATGGTCCTCATTCAGCAAACACTCATTCAGTGATTGTCTGAAGTTAGGATAACCCTGAATGAGGGAACTATTCCTCTGAGTTGTGGCCATCACAGTGGTGCTGGAGTCACATCATGATTCAGGCACTTGGCACCCAGCTTGCATTTATGATGGTTGCAGCATCACATGGTTACATGATTGCCATTTATGATCTTTACTGCTGGTTTCCAACAAAGTCATTGGGGAAGCCAGCAGGAGGTCAAAAAACAATCTCCATCTAATCTATCTATCTATCTATCTATCTATCTACCTACCTACCTACCTACCTATTTATCTATCTATCATACAGCTGCCCATCTCACAAAAGCATGGCTCAGGGTACAACAATTAATTAAAAAGAAAACCAACAGTATATGAAAATTGATCATTAAAATCTACGGAAACTATTAAAAAAACACATGAACAGGAGAGGATGCTGTTAATCACAGTAAGGGAATCTCCCCAGTCCCCTCAGATTCCCAGGCATGATGGCAAAGCCAGGTCTTGCAGAATATTGAAAGAGATATAGCTAACCTCATTTTTGGTGGTAGAAGATTCCATAAGGCAGGCAAACCATGTGACTGTGGGACCTGCGACTGAGTGGGATTCACCTAACAAGGCAACTGGAACTGCCGCAACTCCCGTCAGCGCAATCACTTGATGTTGTGCTTTATGGCTGCAACACTTAGCAAAAGAGTTGCCGGTCCCAATGGCCAGTGTCAAATGCGGACTACCTGTATTACTCTTCAGAAAGTAACAATTTCATTCATACTTCTTTTAACACATGACAATGGGCCTTTTAATTTATTTATTTATATAAGATAAGGTGAGGCAAGGTAGATAAGATAACCTTTATTGTCATTTTTTACTGTGAGCATGCTGACCCACATTAAAAATGAAATTCTGTTGCCTGCTCTCAAAAGAAAGTATATATCTACCCACACACATACATAACACACATAACATAACACTAGCATATTTACGTAGCTATCCATCTCACAAACGTGGCTGAGAGGCATACAACACAACAGCACTTCAAAACTTCATAGCAGTCTAAAACCATCAAAAATGAATAAATAGATAAACCCCAAGGAAGAAGGAGAACAAACTTCTGTTTAATCTCATATAGCCCCCCCTTTCAGGCTGTCCTCAGGATCCTGAAAGCTGGTGAGAAGGCCTTCTGGAAGAATAATGTTCCAGATGGCAGGGTCCACAGCAGATGCACCACCACCTGGATCCCACTAGAAGCAACTTTTTTTGGAGATGGGACCCTTAGCATACCCCTCTTGCATGACCTGCCCAGGCAAGGAAGAGAGGCTATAGAACAGGGGTCTTCAAACTTGGCCACTTTAAGACATATGGACTTCAATTCCCAGAAATCCTCAGCCAGCCATGCCGGCTGAGGAATTCTGGGAGTTGAAGTCCATAAGTCTTAAAGCAGCCAAGTTTGGAGACCCCTGCTATAGAAGGACATCCCCAAAATACTGTTGCTGATCCACAATGGGACAAACCCTCTGATAATTTTGCTGATTTTCTGTAAGCAAGGGAATCTCTGATTCTGCCAATATACCACAGATAGACCAGCCTGTACTTGGATATGTTTCTCCTTTCTTTTGTATGGCACAGAATATTTCCCTCCACTGTTCAGCTACTGCTGGCAGCTGTCTGATAATTGCAAATGCAAAAAGGAACACAAAAAGATGGTCCTTTTTTACTGTCCTCTGACGGGTCCATGAAGATGTTCTTCTTCAGCTGCTTAAAGCAAAAGTGGTCAGCCTACGTGCAGACCCCCCTATGCTTTGATGTTGTTCCTGGAGTTGCCCAAATTCAGCAGTGGAGAAACACTGATTTATCTGATTTATTTCATTAATACCACTAAAGGGTGGGATTAATGGCAAAGAAACAAGTGAGGAGCCACAGAAAACAAAGCAATGGTAGTGGCATCACTGGATCGAGGCTGAATTAGAGACAGTTGGTTTTTTTTAAAAAAAACTAGCTTTTCAGCTGCATAAATCTCCCCTGAAAGTGTTTATGCCCATTTAGTCTTAAATTCAAGGACTGGCGGATGGAGAGATAATTAATGTCAAATGATAATAGGAAACTGAGATTTATTTATTTTTTTTGCACAGAAAGCCAGTATGTTTTGGCCAATATCTCAGGCTGAATTTCTTCCCAATCCAATTTGTTCCTTCAGCCAGATCCCTTGATGGATACATGTTATGTTTTGCTAAAATAATTGCTGGAATCAAACAGAGAATAGGGCTGTGCGTTCTTCAAAGAGGATTTGGAACAGATCTCATCTTCTGTTAACTAAAGTAGCCCAGATGTTTTCAGATTTCTGCACAATCCTGAAAATAAAAACCATTCCTTTGATAGGCATGTTGTATTAGGTTCAATAAGTTAACTTCTTAAATAAGTGGCCTCAGAGACATCCACAGGGCTGGAGTTGTTAATAAAAATGACATAAGCTCTGCCCCTTAAGTATGCAGCTGTGCATGCAGCATCATGATTTTATAATTCTCCCGAGAAATTAATCTATTCTACCGAATGCAAAGAAAGTTTCCCCCCAGATTAGTTCAGAGGAGCTTCCATGGTGCTTTGCAAATAACCAGCAAACTATTTGGAAAGGTCTTTGTATAAAACCCGAAGTGGCTTGTCTGTTAAGATTGGTTCTTCATTTGAAAGAATAGGCTGCTTTGCACAAGCCTGTTCAGAATATGTTCCCTTCTTTTCTGCTGCTGCTTTTAAACCTTCAGGAGCTGAAGCAATCAATAAATGACTCAGAGGCAGCAGCTCTGCTTTAAAAAGTAGTTTATAAATGACCAAGCTCACAATACCTAGCACACTGGAAAACATGGAGATTCAGAGCTCCATTAATGTAGTTTATTTTCTAATATTTTATTTATATCCCTCCTTTATTGTTTTTTTAATAAATAACTTAAGGTGGAAAACGTACCTAATGCTCCTTCTTTCTCTGATTTATACCTGCGTGTAAAAAAGGCACTGCCCCAAATAGAAAAAGGTTGTTGCTTTGTCCTGATGCCTACATGAAATGGTTGTAATAGTAATAAAGTCACACTCCCAAAGGAAAATACAAAGTGTACAAAGTGAAAATCAATTTCTGTAATTAATTCCATCTTTCCTCTTCAGTGAATTTGAGTGTCAGGAATTTTAGACACTATCGTATTTATTTATTTTTTAGTATAAATTTCCCCATCATACTTTCTAAACAAATATAAGAACAAAATTTTGTGTCTGTAAATGTAATTATCTGGATTACGAAAATGTATAGCATAGGATTTGTTAATACTTCTTTTCTTTTTTAGCTGCATAAATCTACCCTGAAGATGTTTATGCTTATTTAGTCTTAAATTCAAGGATTGGCGGATGGAGAGATAATCAATGTCAAATGACCGGGTTGTTGTTGGTTTTTTTGCACATATAGCCAGTATGTATAAAAGCATTGCTTGTAGCTACAGCACAACATGTTATTTTTTAAACCATTCAGTCTTGACTGCTGTACACTGGGGACATTATTCTCTTTACTGGGATCTTCTTCTTACTCATATGAAAAGGACAGGTGGATAGTGAGTAAATAGAAGTTTATTTAGTTAATGG